TATTGTTTTCGTGATACGATACATTTGGTGAAAATGGGAGGATGTCGTCCGTATTTCAGCCTGTACTATGGACATCTTAATTTTCTCTCTTAAAGTAAAAATACGACAATGAACTTAGAGTTTGAAAGAAATAGGGTCATAGTTGCAGTTTGTGTCTACCAAAAATATTAATCCTGTGGGTCACGATAAATGTTTAAGGTTTACTCAAAGATCAATAACAATACATAGGCATAATATCCTCATATTGATTTGAGATTAATGTGAGATTAATTGCTCATATGGATCGGGTCATAATTTAAGTATCTGTATGACTGAAGCTGTATGGACTGATAGCCTTTGCAATTCTCACCTCAGAGCTCTTTCATGTTGCAGGGTTTGCTTGGTTTTGTTTTAAACCTTCCACGGGGTTGGAATTTGATGATCTTTAAGGTCCTTTCCAACCCTAGCCATTATATGATTCTATGGCAGAATGACCTTTCATGTGCTGTTTTAAGGCATGCCCTTCTGGTTTTTTGAAATCTATATAACTAAATTGGATTGTGCGGTGAACACAAATGTCTAGCAGCTACTATAGTAATGAATTTAAACATAAATATTGCAATATGTACCAGATAAAAGCAAAATAAGCCTAATTTCAATAGCCATTTGATATTGCAGTATTCATTATGTGGAATTCCACTATATAGAAAGAAGAGTGTATTCATGGAAGAAGCTGGAATCATTTAATAATTGAAGAGCTGGATTCTGTTAAGAGGGATTTTCTGGCTGCTGTATGTGGGGATACCCTGCTAGTGTATTTTTCTAGATAACTCCCTTTTGTTTAGAAAACTTACTTGAACTTGCAATGTTGCATGCAATATTACCAAACTTCAGATATTTAGACGTTACAAATTAGACAACTTTTCCCTGTGCAAAGGGTTGGAATATCAGCAATATGATCATTTATCATTTGGGGTTTTTTAAGAGTTTTTAAAGAATTTTACCTCTGTAATTTGATGGTGTAAAGTTAATCTTAATGAAAATACATATTCTTATATAAATGCATCAGATTTGGAGCTTGGGTTTTCAGAATAAGAATCACAAGTGTTAGCAGCACCGCAAGCAATAGGTATCAAAGTTGCAAGTGTGCACTTTCAACCCACTTTCCCCCATTATTTCTGGAACTCCAGGAAAAGATATTGCAGAAAAAGTTGAGAGATGAAATTGTGTACTGCATTAATTTAGAATTTCCTATTGTGTAGACTAATGAAAAGAGGCAAACAGAAGTCAGAAGAGGGAGACATCCTCAGCCCTTAGAAAGCTGAAGTTGCCATTACATAATTTGAGCTGAAAAAGAGCTCTTTCTCTGCTATATATTTTTTTTTCCAGACAGTGACCTTCAATTTCAAAAGCATAAGGGAACTGAAGTAAAGCCTTCTACTAAAGCCAAGGAAATCAAATTCTCAAACTTGTTAAAAAGCTTTCAAGTTTGGAGTTGTTGGGTTTTTGTTTTGGTTTGTTTTTTTTTCTAATAGCTGCTTTTTAAATTCTTATGCATATTACACAGGTATTTCATTATTATCTGTTATCTTTTCCCTTTCTTTTGCATTAAGTGGTTCTGGCATATTTCCAAATAAAATGAGGAGCTGCCAGCTTGAAAAGATGGGGAAACATGTTGGTGTGCAATGTGGCACAATACTGATAATTGCTCTAATGTAAATATCACTGTAGTGTTTCAACTGTGCAGCCTAAGTGATGCATGTTCACTGTGAAATTTTACCTAACTCTTGAACAGGCTTTGTCTTATTCCAGCTGTTCCATGCCTGTTGTTCACAGCAATGCAGCAATTCGTGAAACTTCTGCATGTAGTTTTTTGGAATAACTTTCAGTTTTTCTACGACGCATATGGGTATCTAATCTGTAAGAAAGCAGTCATTCATGTGTTGACCTCAGTAGTAAGGTAGATGACAGTACAGAAGAATTTAGCTGCAAGTCTGAGACTGCAGGCTACAACTCAGATACTGTGTTTTACACAATAAATTAAAAAAAAACAAAAAAAAAAAACAGAAAAGCCGCCAACATTGTCAACAGGTACCAAGAATGTATGTCTAGAACAAAGCAACTCCTTGTTATATTTTCTAACTCTATTAAATTTTGAGGGTTTTTTGACAAGTTGATTCACATATGACAAATATCTTCAGTTACAATTTTGGTGAATGTATTAAAGCTTCTGATAAATGCATAATTTTGCAAAGTACGGGAAAATACAGCAACTGGAAGAAATAATGACATAACTTTTAACTTTATGAAAATATATTTAGCTATTCAGTCCTCTGATATATTGAATTTGGGGGACGTCTGGAAGCCTAAATATTATTACTGTATTTTGAATTAATCTGAATGGCTTTAATGGACTACGTAAAAGCAAATTATATTTTGCCAAGAAAAGCACAATTTAAAAAAAATTAAAAGGATGGCACTTCAGGAGACCGCAGGTTTGAAATCAGAGTTTCCATTAGTCTTTCAACTCTGTGTAATGATCTTGTGTGTTCTGCTCTATTATTCCACAAAATAAGCTTATTTAAACTGACTGAACCATATTGGTTTTGTGAATCTATTTATGTAGGTTCAACTAGTCTGTTCGTAAATCCAGTATCACACATTATCTGTTTAAAGAAACAATAGAAAGCATTGCTTCTACATGTAAATGCGATCACCTTCCCTTCATAAAGTTAAATTGGCTTCATTTAATCACTTATGCTGCTTAGGTCTAGTCACCCTGCAATAAGCTGTTGAGGACATTGCCATTTAACCCAGGGCATATTGCACTACTCTTAAGCTTTCAGCAAGTTTATATCAGTAGAGTGGAAAAAGAAGGGAAATACTTTAATTCAGATATAAAAGAACAGGTTCTGTATGTGTCATAGATGACGTATCATTCTGGTTTTCAAACAAGACTTTCAAAAGGTTAATGATATGTATTGCTTCAAATTTTATATGCCAGACTTCAGAAACAAGGGATTGATTCAGAGATGTTCAGAATGATATCTGAATATCAAACTCTGCAAAATTTTGTAAGGTTCGGCTGCCCAAAGTCATTAGCTATTTTATAAAAATTTGGTCTCTGACAGGCTGAAACCATTGAAAACCATGTCTTAAAATTTGAGGTTTTTTGTTCTGCCCAAGGTTTTTGAAGCAATCAACTTAGTGACTTATGATTTAAAACAAAACTAAAACCACCAACACCTATACCAGTACCATAGCCCATGATACCTGGGTGCTTCCAAAGAACTTTTTTGAAAGAAGCAGCATAAGGCAAAAGACAGTGTTGAGTAGTCTTTAAAGTAGTATTAAAAAGTAATAATGTACAGCATGGACAGGAGAAGGTATTTTAATTAGTAAGGGATTTTTTTCCTGTGAGGGTGGTGAGGCAGTGGCCCAGGTTGCCCAGAGAAGCTGTGGATGCCCCATCCCTGGAGGTGTTCAAGGCCAGGCTGGATGAGGCTTTGAGCAACCTGGGCTGGTGGGAGGTGTCCCTGCCCAGGGCAGGGGGGGGGGAACTAGATGATCTTTGAGGTCCCTTCCAACCCAAACCATTCTAGGGTTTTATAACAAGGTAGACATCTATACTTCAGTGAAGTTGGTAGTTCCCTGGTGTAAGAGCTTTTATAATACTCCTGCACAGTCCCTTTCCAGAGACTTCCCAGGAGGGTCACTGGTGTTATATAGTAACAAATGCATGCTTGCACTTATCAGGCTATCTCCAGGAGCCAAGAATGGGAGTTTGGTTTTTTTTCTTGAAAGAATATTTGGCTTTGCCAAAGAAGTTGTGGTGGTTGTTGTTCGGAAGTTGTGCCACCCCTCTGTTCACTGCAGCTGTGCAGGATACAGTGCCACTAGAATGGCCAGCAGCCAGTTGGCTAAACTGAAAAAATAACCTTCAGAAAAGCCTTGGAAGAAAGCATGGAGAGGTAGAAAGGAGTTGGCTGTAAATTCATTACAAAATGTGAATTAATCTTCTTTAATACACATTCTGTTATGTATAATCTGTCAGATGTCAAAGCAAAGGAAATCTGACACTTCAAAAATACTGACTGTACATCATATCCTTGTGAAAAACTGTTTCTGTTGATGACATAAGCCTACTTGTGGTTGTCAAGTATCCCTTGAACTCATTTCTGTTAATCTGGTGAAGGGCTGAATTCCCTGCAGTACTCATGAGGTGTTCATATCATTCCTGGTGTGTAACTAGATCACTTGCTAAGAGGCTTTCTAGAGAATGAACAAAGAATATACATAGACTCTGAATCAGTTTGACAGAAATTAAAATATTACAATACTTTTTATTTAAAATTAATAATTGGATACTTTGGAAATGGGATGTTAGTGAACGTGTTGATAGCTGCCGCACTTGTCTGTTTCCCTATTGCCTTTTCCGGAAACAAAGAATGTTATTTTTCCCCTACAGTCTCTCCTTTAATTATTTATAAATACATGCTCTCACTAGGGCCTAACTTGCAACCACTGTAATCCTGTTTTCATTAAATTGATCTATTATTTGAGAATTTGTACGTGAGAATTTATGTAGCAAATTTTGTGACAAGAAAAAACAGTAGTTACTAACACCAATAAGAATTAAAGTGAACCTTCACATGTTGAACTTGTAGATCAATGAGGCAAAAGACTTGGTGCTACTCATATCAGAATAAACATGGATAGCTGATTTCTTCTCAACTGGAAACATACAGTAGAGATTCAGTTTAACATAGAAATGGTGCTCAAAAGAATCATCTTATCTAGAAATCTAAAGCATTTAAGCTCTTCTCCAAGTGAGTGCCCACAAACAGTTTGAAAATGTGGGACTGAGCCTTTAAGAATTAACTAATTGTGCCCTTGGATAAAATCTTTTAACCATTTGTATTACTGACTCTGAAATGTGTATTTGTGTAGAAAGTTCGTGGTTTGGAGGTTGGTTTTTTTGTTCCAAAATACTTACTTGGGCTTCTTTTCTAATTTTTATTTCAGCTGGACAGCTTAGCCAGTCAGCACATTTTTCTCTCCAGTTGCCATACAATGTGCTAGGCTTGGGTCGTAGTGCGAATTTCCTCGACCATTTGTATGTTGGCATTCCTCGTCCTTTAGGAGAAAAGGTTAGTTGAGATTTAAGACTGTCAAGCTAATATTTATGGTGCTGCCTTTCCTAATAGAGTTTGGATGCCAGTATTGCTAGGGACACTTTTTATTTTTCAGAAGCAAGAATGTCAAAGAAGTAAGTTTGAACACAGAAAAGTTTGTCAAATAGAACCTTGTATGCCTGGTTTTGGGGGTGTATAAGCACTGAAGCTAATACAAAGACTCAAAGATAACTGAAGTTGTCTGTAAATGTTAGCACAGGTGTACAGTGCTTGTTTATATGGTAAATGTGTATTAGATCTGATAGTCTGATTATTCTGGTCTCTGTTTTAAGACTTTCATGGGGTTGGTCTGGACAGGCTGTAAACTCACATAATCCTTTCTGCCTCAGTGATAAAACCATGATCAGTATGATGGGAGGTGGAGATTACCATGATTATCTCATCTTCAGGTGAAACATAAAAGCAGGGTCCTGACCATTTTCAGTTTTGAAAGATCTGATGGTACTACTTTAAAAAGTGAGGTATTAAAATTAGCGTACTGGCCAAATTCTGATTTGGATAATTGCTTTCCCTGCCTTTGTAGAATTGGTTCTTTTCTTCTTTCCCTGTTATGTTGTTGCTTTGTACTTCTCAAGCAGATGCTGTGTTTCATGTCAGCAATAGTTATTTTGCTTTTTTACTTTTTCTTGGTTTTTTTTTAAAGCACTTTGGAGCTTTCAGAATACAAATGTAAGGGAGTAATCACTTAAAATTTAAAAAGCAACTTTGTTTTTTGTTTCTCCTTTTGTATGTTTCAACAGAGGATTTCTTTGCCTTTAAGTATGTTGGTTTGTTAGGAATTGACATAGCCTTTGTTTTTCTTTCAGTCCATAAGAAGACAAGAATGGACAGCTATCATACCAAACTCCCAGCTTATAGTTATCCCCTATCCGCATAATGTTCCTCGAAGGTAACTTCATAATTTTGATTTGCATTTCACAAAATCACATCACTACAGTGTTTAAATTAGGGATTTTGTGTAGGTTTAAAAATAGTAATTTGTACAGAAAGTAAATTTAAGAACAATGGCAGGGGGGTCAGTTCTACAGATGTAACAGCCTCTGTGACTAGGCAGAATACTTCTCACGTGTTTACACAGACTCTTAGATAGTGTCCATAAACAATAAATTCTGTTACCAGCTCATAAACACAATCAAAATGTATTACTAGCTCAACATCTGTAAATAATGACATATTTGCTAGATTTATCCTTTTTGACAAATTGCAAGTGTGGTAATGATTGAAGCAAGCATTTTTGTTTCACCAAACATGCAATTTCTGTCTCATTGCATATAAAAGCTTTAGTTCATCCCTTCTGAATGCAGTATCTGTTGCCACAGGTATGAATGTTTTTCTTTACGTAAAGGTGGATGGGTTGGTTACACAAGAGCTTGAACACTGAGTTCACTTTGCAAATAAAATGTTTATCCCAGAAAGAGAGCATGTTTCTCTTTTTGCTATTAGAGAGAACATTAGTCACATATTCCAGCTGCTTTTTGCCGCTTGATCTACTAGTGAGGTCAGTTGCATTTATCATGCAGAAATGATTCAGACATCAGTTTCAGCAGTTAATTTTACGATAGGACAAATAACAGTGAAGAAATGATGTGCCACTTGAGTTGCTAATTAACAGGCACAGGAATAACATCTGCCAGATGAAGAAAATTTAGTTATAGTCTTGAGGTATTTAAAGGTATGTGTTACGCAAAAATTTTTCTGTCATCTTATCCTTAAGCTATTTCTGCTTTCCTGTGAGGTAAGTTCATGGACACTGTAGAACAGCAGAGGATAGAATCCCCAGAACAAATTGGATTCCATAATAAACACTTCCTAAATTTATAATAATTTTTTTTAACATAGATGCCTCAGTGCTGCCTGGGCATAGAGCCTCCTGCTGGCAGCTCTGCCACGACAGGAAGCCTTTATTACAAAAAGGGTGTTAACGGAGCCTCAGGACCCCACAGCATTTGAGAGATGTCTTCCAAAAGCCCTTTAAGTGCTTAATTTTGTTGCTCTCCAGCCTTTTCCTGCCATAATCAACTGGTTCTGTTGCCTGCAATTGTAGTTGTCCCTGGGTAAACTTCATCTGAGATGCCGAACTGACTGGAGCCCATGAGCCTGTCGGAGAGGAGCTTCTCATGGGGAGGAAACAACCTATCTTACAGGCTTATGTCACCCTGCTTCTCCATCTCCCCAAGCCCCAGGCAGTTCTGTAGAAGACTTACCTACACATTTTACTTTGTCCTGGGCAGGGCAGGAGATAAATCTCCTAATGAGAAAAAAGTCAATGCCTGAGGGTATCCATAGCATTCCTGGAAAGTTAAACAGAAACTGAACATGGCATTACCTGAAAAAAATTATATTAACCCATAAATTTCTAAGTAAACACCATTAAGCTGCTTCAGTCTCTAAGTACAGCTACTAGTTTCTCTAGACCAAGTTGTTACCTGTCTTATACCAGCAGGTTCTTTTCATCTTTGTAAGTTAAATCTGTTTTCTGCTTCCTAATGAAGGGTGTTAATGTTACCTTGGATTTTCTTCTTTTGTATAGCTGGAGTGCCAAGCTGTATCTGACCCCAAGTAACATCGTGCTGCTAACAGCTATAGCCTTAATTGGTGTTTGTGTTTTCATCCTGGCAATAATTGGCATATTACACTGGCAAGAAAAGGTAAGCTTAATTAACAAGATTCTTTTCTATATTTTCTATATTATTTAACACTTACTAATATCTTACGGTCTTGTACGTTGGGTTTTTTAAGTAGTTTTTTACAATATAATTTCTGACACAGACTGCGTTAATTCCCAAAAGGTGTTTATTATTAATTCAGTATTTACTGCAAGCTTAAAAATTGGCACTGTTTTTATTTAAGCTCTAAGACACTTAAAAAGGGAAATGAAGAGCAACATGGATAAGCTTTTGCCATTACACTGTTGTTCCCAACTAAATGAGACGCTTTTGTTTCATATCTAAGGTTTCTGTTTTGCAGAGTTTTAAGGAATACTGTTTTGGAAAACATAACATAAACTCAGTTTACTTATCTTGAGTTCTGCTGGTAATCTAAAAATAAAGACTCTGTATCTATCTTTGCTGATTGCACTGGCATTAGCATTCAAGACTGTATAGGGAGTCAGTCGTGTGCATATTGGCTGCTTTGCTCTATGTGTCTGAATTATACATGCAGTGTATAGAAATCCATTGATTTGAAGAAGCATTTTGAAAGGGGCCTTTCATGTCACAAAAGAAATGCCTTCCCATTTTTCGTAACTGTGCTCAGTTCACAATCATATCCAACTGGCAGGATTGCCAATAAATGCTGCTACATACCCAAACCATAATCTTAGCTGTCAAATAAAATTACTGCACATTTTGACATGGCAGAACTGTTTGTTATTTTGTGCTTGTGGAAATAAAATGACCTTGTTAAACATTCAGATAGGCTTTGCGCATGCTTCATATTTAAATAAAACACACAAAGTAAAGAAATACAAAGTTTATGATGACTGTCCTTAGCATGTCCTACTGTAACAAGAGAGCATTGCTAACTGGTAACTAGGACTACGCACTGGCTGGGTTTAATTTTGTCTCCAACACATCTTAAGCAACAAGCGTAGCAGAAAAAATACTTGAACTTTGATGTGGGGAAGGATTAACTATGTATAATTCAATCTGGAGAAATGGAGATTTAATGTCAATGTTTAAAATAATTCTTGATATAATAATCCATGTGCTGTAATGTAAAGAAGCACTCAGCCCAGAGTGGGTGCTTTCTGAGCCATTTTAAACCCCATTCGATATATGTGAATGAAGTGGTATATTGGTTAGATTATAAACTCATTTCCAACAGCTGCATCTTGCTTAAAATAGGCATAAATACTTGGATAAATAGTGTGCATTTGCAGACTACTGCATAAACATTTGTTAATTCCTATAGTTTTCCAATGCCCTCCTATTGATTTTTTTACCTTCACAATTTTTAGAAGAAATGGTTGAGGTACAGAACAAATAAGAATCTTGACCAAGGCTGTATTGTGCATCAGTGACATGACTGGAAGTTAAACTCCAAAGTTCTTATTTCTGATCTTGTTCTTGGTTTACTGCCTCTTTCAGTAACCCTCTCATAAAAACACTGCTCTGCCTAAATGCTGTTTTCCCTTCTAGATCTCTAAAGTACCCATAGCAAGGAAAGGAAGGGGAAATGTACTGGCAGTTACAATCTCTTCTTTTCCCCCAGAGGATATATCTGTCTGTAAGCTGCAGTATTTTATCAGCAGTTAAAATAAACCATGTACTTTGACCTCTGCAGATAAATAGTAGTAGGAGCCCTTTGTCTACAATAGTTCTTATACACTGGGCTGCCAGCCAAGTATTATATTGTTTAAATAACTGTAGGATTTAGGGATAGTATGTTGCTCTGTCATGCCATAGAAGATTTGGATCTGTAAAAAAAAAAATTAAAAAAATTAAAAAAAAAAAAAGGCTTTTAAATCTCAGTTACTAGTTTTTAGTTTTGATACATCAAATGAAAGAGAAATTGAAGAAGAATTTATGCCATTATTCTTCTTACAACAATATTGCCTGACACGTTAGCTAAGGACCTTGATATTCGTGTATCCTGATTCTTTAGAAGTTGCTTTGTGGTCTTGAGGCCAGTGGTGTGAACACTACACATTGATGATAATACTGCTATAGAAGTTTTGATCGATTCATCAGAGGATCAGTTACTGTCAAATTTGAAGTAGTAATTTTTTCAGGAAGCATACAAGAAATGGAGTGAAAATTGCTTTCTAAGTGCAACTCTAAAATTTTGAGCACTATGACAAGCATTTCAATGCAGGAAAGAGTATGCCGCTCCCTTCTTTCCACCCCCTTCTTGACATTCAAAATACTACTGACATGGATAAAGTCCCTGCCAGAATGCCAGACTGATACATCTTAAACTTCACTGACAGATCTGCTGCTTCCACAAAATGCAGTAAAATCCATAGTTAATCCAATGGAGTTGCTATCATACCTAAACACTGCATGAGGAGAAAAGCTTTGGCCTTGAGCCAAAGCAGATGACAAACTTTCATGGCAGAACACATGCACCAATTTCTACCAAAATTGTCATGTATATTTATCAACTGAGATATAAATCTGAATGCCCACACAACAGCATACTGTAAAGGCTTTTCTTCATTTTACTTATTAAAAAAAAAAAAAAAAAAAAAAAAGGTAGGTATAAGCAAGCTAAAAAGCATTTAAATTTGTTTTGCTACATTATCTTACGCTAGGATTTACACATACTGTCATGACAAAACACTGCTCACACTAGGTGTTCAAAAATCCTTTAAGTGCTTTTATAGTCTGCTACTGCTGTAGAATGCAAGAGGAGGCTTGAGGGAGAGGACATCTTTTTACACATTACATGGATTATAGGTACAATTTAAATATGCTGCTTTTTCCCAAGCACCATCCCAACTAATTTTCAGCAGATCAATGTGTGTTCTGCATAAATAAGCAGGGAAATGCATCCTACTCACATTTTTGTAATACAAATAAAAACATGGAACATTTTTAGCCTACTGGGTGCTGTTAATTGTTGGTTGAACTGCCATCTTTGTCTAAATTTGTATTTAACAGACATTTTTTAAAATAATCTAATTTTAAATGTAACGTAGATGACATTTACAGTTAATCCAGAGTAATCTTGTATTTATAATGCAGACTAAATAAATCCATACTAGGAAACATTCTTCATTTTTGAAATACTGCTTTTAAAAAAGCATTATTAGAAATAATAGAAAATAATGATTCATAAATACTAAAATAGCTGAACATCAACAGCAGAAGCCAATTTTGACTAGATATTGCTATTTCAAACTGACATAATTTAAAAGCTAATTATTGGGGCTTTTACTAAGCTTTTTGCCTTTTGTCAAATGAGTGGCTTGGAAAAAATCAACCATTCTCTGACGTTTGACAACTCATTTCTCTAACAGTATTGCTCTAGATCCCACAGTGTTGTTTTTTATTATTATTTTTCAGAAAGCAGATGACAGAGAGAAGCGACAGGAGGCTCATCGGTTCCATTTTGATGCTATGTGACATGCCTTAATGTTTATGAAGGAGCTGCTACTCATTTGCTTAATGGAAATACTAAATTCTGATTTGTAAAATGATTACCGTGAAAATATTGCTGGTGTGTTATTTGTAAATGTTGCATTATTTGGTATTTATTTGGAAAGTATTAAAATTAGACCTGAATGTCTCACAAGGCCTTTTAGTTACCGGACTGTATATAATAGCATTTGGTCTTTATTTAACAGAACTGTAAATTTATTTTTCTTAGTAAAGGGATCATATTGCATGTACTGTTGTTTACATACCACCAATTCTTTAGTAATGTTTGATAGAAAGAAAGCTGTGTAAATAAAATTTAGTATTTCAGCAAGCAGTATACTTTGTACCACGTGAATTGGTCTTGTCATTTATACATTCCTGCAAAATAATCCGCATTTCTGAAAATTAAGCTTGAGCAATTTCTCAGATTACTTCATCATTATTTATTTTGATTGTACTAAATGGCGCTCAGTCTAAAGTATTCTGTATTTTTCTTTGTTAAAATCCATATGTGCAATAGTTAAAGAATTTAGGAACTGAAGAACTAAAAGAAACCTGCGATATTAATGCTAGTTCAGTAGCTCATCATGGGATGGATGCAGTATTTATGTGTGTTAGTTCTAGAGAGAAGACAGGGCATTAAAAAATTAAAATAATAAAAATGTATTAGCATTACATAAACTGTTTTTATAATTAAACTATAACCACATTTATTTTAGAAAGGCCTAAAGTCATTGTGGAAGTAATTTATATAAGAAAGGTATGGGATTTTTTGTTTGGTTTTGTTCTATTAAAAGAAACATTTTGGGACTGGAAGGACAATGAGGATTGACTCCATAACATTTATTGCTAAGGGATAAGATATAAAAAGATTAAATTTAGAATATAATAGGACACTTGGAATAAGCGATGTATGTTATCTGTGTACACTACTATGCCCAAATTTTATAAGGCTGTAATAATTACATAAGAGTAGCTCAACTTTATATATTTAAAATGATGATAAATTTACAATTGCTCAGTGTACTTTGGATCCTGGAAGAGTCTCAAAAAATAATCATGCTTTTATTTAATAGCTATTCCTTAGTGCTGTGAGTTTACACGATTAATTGTGCATTTAAATCTGCCAATTTGCATTCCTAATAAATACTGTTTGATAAACTAGAACACACTTTCTCAACGAACTACAAAGTGTTGGTCTTATAGGCAGGCACCTCTGCAGTAGGTATCTCCTTTAGTCTGGCACTTGTCTGGTAGCCTGCTGTCCTGTAACACTACCGTGGCTTGTCAGTACAGCAACAGAAAAGGGAGATGAGGTACAAAGCTGAACTGATTACGTCCACACTGAATCGCAGTCAAACAATTTGTTACTGTGGCAATGCTCAACAGTGACCCGTTCATACAGCAGCACCAAGCCAAAAAACAGAAAAGTACTGATAAGCTATGAGGTTTCACTAGATGTTTCTAATATGAACTGAGCAGATGCCAACAAAGGAAACTTTCATATTACATTATGGTTATTATTCAGGATCGCATATTTCCTTAATGCACACCTTTAATATTTCTCTTAGAGTGGCATGGAAGGTTAAGATTTTTTTCTAGATGAATATTTTAACGCTGTTGGACTTTTTTAAACCCCATTGATCAAATTTGCTCCTGACAGCAAAAAATAGTAACAGATTTCATAATTAAGAGGAAGTACAATTCAATATATTTTCCTGTCTTTTTCAGATGGTTAGAGAATAAGGCTAAATGTGTAATGCCACTGTGGCAGCAAAGTTGTCTGTAGCCCTCCTTCACAATATAATAAACATAGATTAGCCTCCGTATGTTTTTTGGAAAAACAATTAGGAAAGAAATAACCTCATGCTGACATTTAAGCTGTTGTCAAGTTAACAAAACAATGAACTCAGTATCTTTTGCTTTAAGGTATTTTGCATGCTCAGTAGTGCATCACTGCATCGCTTTGTATACAATACATTATTGGTGCTTTAATAGCTTTCTTATAATAAAGTTTATCACAGGTTGTAACTCCTCATAGCTTGGCTCATAACAGTATATGCATACTATTTTGAATTAAGGCATTAAATAGTGTTAAACTAATTGTCAAAGGTTTCATGTTGTACTTTGGTTTTCTATTCTATAACCATCAAAAATATGTTTGGATAAGGTTATTATTACCATTCTACTAGTAAGTTTAAGAAAGCAACATCAATTAGACAGTATAGTTCTAGGTGATCGTCACAGTAACCAAGATGTGAGAAATAGTTTTAACTACATGAATTTTCAAAATGCATCCACAATAGCACAGCCCTGTTGAGAAATGCTACTGGAAGGCTTCTTCAGTGTGAAATCTCACCTATATAAAAATAATGTTGACGTGCCAACTGACAGATGGCTGTTGCAATACCATCTTTCTTTGTTCTCATTTTCCATGAGAAGCTTTAAGACTGAATCTTCCTACCAGATTTATCATTAATGCACTATAATCCCCAACATAAAGAACCAACTTTTCTGCTGTAAGTTAATAGGTATATTCTATATTCTATATAGTGTGATATTCCTGCTATGATGAGGCCACCTTGCTTAACAGACAGCTGTATTAAAAACATATACTACAGTTAATTGAAAAGTAATCACTATAAACGCACCAAGTCAACTCAGGGCTTTTATAACTACTTTCAAATAAATGACACCTAAATAGAACACGAGAATTCAATCTATAAGTTTCTACTATATTAAAATCATCAGAGCTTAGTTTTATTAAAACAATGTAAAGGTATTAACCATGCCCATTTTGAAGGTACTAATAACCAAAAAAGTTATTTTTATAGCTTACAGTTTGCAGTTGTCATAGTTTTGACTCCGGCTGACAGCCAAACACCACAACACCCCTTGCTCTCTCAGTAGTAAGTAACAAAGCCCCTTATACATATTTATGTAAGATTATGTGTTATGTTACCACACTAAGAGGCACTTGCACCTTCTATCATTTTCTAATTAGAAATTGTATATAATTAAGATTTATCAAAGGCACCTAAATCCTATTGACAAACTGAGGTACCAGAACAGTTAAAATGTAGCTCCTAACTTCCTTTCATAATTATTCACTCTTGACATCTATATTTTTGCCATCTCTTTTAAAAACAATATCCAGGTAGCCTCAAACATGGTAAAAAACTGCTGGTCTAAGGCTATTGGTGGTGTACAATCTGCTACGCAAGAGCAGCAAATACTTTAGGTAATATTAAAACTTCTAGAACAGCAAACCAAAGGCATTTTTAAGGAAGAACTGCTGGGAGGAGGTAAAAACTAGTCCTAGTAAGGGAAATTTAAGCCCTTTATTGCAGCAGAGCACCTGTTGTAACTGACTCATTCTTTTACTGTTCAAGCAGATAGTTACCTACATCAAAATGAGCAGTCCATTGCATTCCATAAACTTCTCCCATTCAAAAACAATCATGTCTCAACAGACCAGCAGAACAATACATAACTGGCTGTCCAAATGTTGTACTCAACCTTTCATAACTCCCAAACTCAAGTTTAATTAACTTGAGCTTACTGCCAGCTTGACCCAGTGGCACACTGTTTTCTTCCCTGGGAGCTAGCACTTTGCAAGCTCAGAAAATGGGAACTGAAAGTTTCTTCAGACATGCCACTGGTTTACTATTAAATATTTTAAAGCACCACCTATAGCAAGAACTCTAGCAAGACA